GCGAGGAGTCCCAGTTCCATGAGAGCATCGGGTACCTGAGGCGCCTGCTCCTGCTTTTGGCCTCCTTCCTCCCTGTTGCCTCTTGCTCCTCGCTTCTGCTGCCCTCGTTCGGTCGAGCACTTTGGCTTCGCGTGTCGCTGCGCCGGTGTTGGCTCACCTCGCCTCGGCGCGACATGCTATCCACGTCCCCAGTTCCGATCGTTACTGTCCTCAGCTGTTCCCAGCCCCTCCCCCCGCGGAGCGGAGCGATCGCAGGGCATGGGGTGTCGCTGGGGCCGCGGCCGCGACATGCTTAGCACAAGTTCTCGGCAGCAGTTGTGTGGTTCTCTGCGTTTGCCTGGCGCCGCTCCGCTGCGCTGCTGTGGTCTTGCGCATCGCTCGAGATTCGTACCGTCGTGGTCGCCTTGCTTGTGAAGCAGCAGGGTACCCGAGGCGCCAGGGACCGCAGGGCCCGTCCCTCGAGGTTGCGTCGAGCTGTCGGCTTGCGATGTATAAATGGTGGCCTCTTGCCCGAGTGACTGTTGATGCGTGGCATCCGAGCACGCAGGCCGCGGCTGTCGCATCGTGCGCAAAGATCGGAACCCCGCGCCTCAAAGGCCAGCCTGTTCGGGGCCACTCGTTGAGTATAGCCGACAGGAGGGCCCCTCGGATCGCCATGCTCTTCGGACGAGCGACGGGGCTGGTCCCTCGAAGGAGCGACGGGAGAGGGCACAGGCAGGCTCAGGGTGAGGCTCAATTGCTCCGGACCCCCCTGGGGGACGCTCTCGGAGCGTTCTGGAGCGCTCCGGAACGCCCGCGGCGCCGGGTGCAGTGAGCACGTCAGGTAAGAAGCCAGCCCGCCAGCAGGTGCCCGCTGGGAGACTTCTTCCCCCGCGATGGCCCCAGGGACCCACAGCAGCTCTGGGGGAGGGGGGGAGCTTCTCAGAAGCACCCTGCTCCTAATCAGCCTCCGCTCCTCCTCCCTATCCTTATGATGTACCAACCTACTTTAGCCTTGATCACCAAAAAGAATTTCGTGCACCAGGGAAGTACCGAACCTTCAGGGTTTTCGCGTGCCGGGCCCTGGGAGGCGATACTTGTTCGGCGACGTTTCGAAGTTATTTCTGGGTGCCCGAAACTATTTCTGCGATGTGGTCCTTAAGTGCGATGGGAGCAACATAACCCTACCCCCCTTGTTCGCGCCGCTCACGAGGGAGGGGGGGGAGCTTCTTAGAAGCACCCTGCTTCAAAGAAGCCTCCACCCCTCCCCCCCTACCCTTATGATGTTCCAACCTACTTTAGCCTTAAGTACGATGGGAGCAACATAGCCCTGCCCCCCCTCGCTCGCGCCGCTCACGAGGGAGACGGACGCCCGCTGCGCGGTCGCGCAGCGAGCGGGGCGCCCACGACCCCAGGCCCGCTGGGCCCTGGGCGGGCTGGGCGGGGGCGCCTGGCTTGCGGAAGAGGGCGCCAGCGCGCCTGGAAGGAGCGCTTTGGCAGCAGCGGTGCCATCACGACGTGCCTCCAATAATATGTCGGGCGTGTCCCCCTACAGGGGGATTTTCGACGGCACATAACAGATACCCCACAAATAGCCCAAAAAGGTCAAACAATACCCAGAAAATAGTCACCAGACTATTTTTTAAATATTTTTTTGTTATTTTTGGGGTAGTTTGTCTTGGTCGAAAATCACCCTGTAGGGGGACAGGCCCGACTTAAGTCCAACACTTTTTGGCACCCGATGTTCAACGGCGCCAGCAACACGAAGTTCCACGAGGTCGAGCCGGCCTGCTCGAAATGAGCAGCGCGACGCGCGCCGTGAGCGGCCTGGTGCGTGGGGAGTGAGCTTCCTGGCTGCACGGTTGGCAGCGCGCAGTGCCCCAGCAGCGAGTCGGCATGCTCAAAGCGAACTGCCCGCCGACTTCGCTTTCCGCCCCGCCTGCTCCTGGGAGCGGGCCAGCACGCTTGGAGTGTTTTAGCTGGAAGTCATTTTTCAGCAACGCTGGCATCGCCTCCCGAAGCGAGCTGGCACGCTGGGAGTGAGTTTCCAGCTGGCAACGTTGGCAACGCGATGTGCGCCGGGAGCGAGCCAGCACGCTGGCGAGAACGCGAGCCAGCACGTTGGCGAGACCGGGATTGGCACGAAAGGGGTCGTAGTTGTTGTAGTAAGGGAGCTAGCAGAAGTACATGGACTGTCAGGTCCTTCTGGGCAAGCCTAGGCAGGGACGGAACAACCGTGGCCACCGGCTTTTGAAGAGGATGAGGAGGAACAGCAGCTGCTGGAGGATTAGGAGGAAGAGGAGGAGGCCAGCTTCTGTGGATGATGATGAGGAGGAGGAGGAGGCGTACGAGTTATGATGAGAAGAGGCCGCGCTGGTGTGCCGATGACCTCCTTCCCCCCGCGCGCTCGCCGTGCCCGCAGGCAGCTCGGGGCCCTCGACGAGACCAAGCCGGGCGCTCCGCAGGCGCCCTGTCGCGCCCGCCCGCTTCTCTCTCTCCGCCGCGGCCCCCGCCGACGACGGACAGACCACCCTGCGGGGCCCCTTCCGGTTCGATCGAGTCCGATCCGAGCTTCGGAGCTGGAGTCGGGTGTTGCCAGAGGTGCCCGTGGCCCAAGGTGTCCCCATGATGTCCAAGGAGGCCCCCACGGCCTGACGAGCACCCCTCGCGAAGCCCAGAGGGCCCCAGGGGCTCCAAGATCGAGCGAAAAGCCGGGGGCACCTTGGACCAGGGGCACCTCTAGCGACCCCCCGATGGAGGTGGGCGACGGGATTCGCTCTCGTTGCTGGCGCTCCAGAGCGGCCCGATGCCTGCACGGCGCGGCTGCGCATCCTGGCGGAGCGGGCCCGAGCCCGACTTTGGACCGAGCGCAAGAGCAGGCTCCGACTCGACGCGAGTTCCGGCCCGCTCCGATGCCCGAGTCGATGCTGACCGCTCTCGCCGTCCCACCGAGTGTTCTCTGCAGATCCCTTGTCCTCTTTTTCTCTGCCAAGAAATGGCAAAGAATTCCCAATCCTGCCGTCCCAAGGAAAGGCACCAGCTCTAAACAGTGCTGCATTTCGGCACTAATTGTCTACTGTCTCACCCTGCTCGCGCCGGCGCAAGGCTGACGTTCGTTCGTTCGTTGTCCTCCTTCCCAAGAGCAGAAGACGGCGCAGCCAACACATGCAGCATTCGAGGTCCGCGCGGGTTGCTGAGGTCGGCCGCTGGCGCCCCGGCGCGCTGCTCGCACGGGGGTGCGTCGCCGATCCTGGCAGTCCGCGCGGGCCTCCGACGGTCCATGCCAAAGCACACGGCGGAGGCACATGCCAAGAAGCATCCTGCTCGCCTCCAGGGTGCCCTGGGTTTCCTTGGGCTTCGATGGTCTTTCGATGGGAAGCGTGGCGCTCCCACACCACAACTCCAGGGACGTCCTGGGGCCCCGGGGTTGGGCCTCTCGTGGAGGGTTTCTTGTGGACTGGCCTCCACCGCATTTGTTTCTAATGTTTCCCTCGTCATCGGCCTGGCATGCTGGCACGCATGCGTGACAAGTCAGCCTTCCTCGCTCTGAGGCCACGGCCTCCGCGCCACCCGCGCAGTGGGCCCGAGCGGGCCCCCCGAGCGGGGCACGCGCGGATCCGCCACTCGTCTCGTCGGCTCGTCGGCTCGCAGATCCCCAGTGGCAGCCTGTGCCGGTGCGCAGCAGGGGTCGACCTGAGCGGTGTTTTGGCGTTCCCGTGGGCCGTGTTCGTGCCGACTTCGTTTTGCGGCCAAGGCGGACCGGAGACAGCACGAGGGGGAACCCGACAGCAACACGAAAACGAAGCACGCTGCTGAGGTCGATCCCTGGTGGGCAGGCGTTTTTCCTTGCCCAGGGTGCATCGTCGTGCGTGCAAGGGAGGATGGGGGACAACATGAGGGAGCACGAGAAAGCGGCGCGAACCCGACCCGCACACTCTTGAGGGCGATCTCCGTGCCAGTGGGCAGCTGCTCTGTTGCCCCTGCCCAGGTGGCCCTGGGCCTCTCTTCTTGTGCTCGCGGAGGCCGTCGCACCCGCGAGCCGTGGAGGCTACCCCCCCCCTCAGCGATCCCGCGCCCGCCGCAGAGCTCCTCGGGCGTCCGTGCCTCGGGCGCCCGCCGCAGAGCTCCTCCCGCCGCCGCTGGCGCCCCTTGCTGCAGCCCCGGGGAGCTCCGACGCGCAGCAGCACGCTGGGCGCCCCTCGAGGGCGCGAAGTTTTCTCCTCGCGCTTCGCGGTGCGGGGCCCCGGCTAATCCTCCTCCTCCTCCTACCTCCTCCTCTCTCTCTCTCCTAATCCTCTCCTCTCCTCCTCTCCTCTCCCCCTCCTCCTCCCCTCCTTTTTCTGCTTAGGGGGGGGGGGGGGGGGGCGCCCCTCGAGGGTGCGAAGGTTGTTCCTTCGCGCTTCGCGGCTCAGGGCCCCGGCTCCTCAGCCTCCCCCCCACTGCCTTTGTGGGTTGCCCTCGAGGGCGCGAATGTTTTTTCTTCGCGCTTCGCGGCTCGGGGCCCCGACTCCTCCTCCTCTCCTCCCCTCCTCCTCCTCCTCCTCATCTTCCATCCTCCTCTCCTCCTACTCCTGCCTCCTCTCCTCCTCTCCTCCCCCTCTCCTCCCCCTCCTCCTCCTTCTCCTCCTCCGCCTCCTCCTCCTCTTCCTCTCCTCCCCCGCGGGGTGGCCTCGAGGCCCCGCGTGGTGAGATTCGCGCTTCGCGCGAGAAGCGCGACTTTGGGCGCCCTGGCAACACATTGGAGCGGCTTGTTTTTTTGCCGTGTTCGGCCTCTGGGGGCCCTCGCGGGGCCTCGGGAGCGTCAAGCCCAGACCCCCGACGTTATGATTTGTTCATGACGTCGACCCCTAGAGATCATCTCGACGCATCCCCCGGGACCGTCCTGAGTCGTTTTTTGACGGTCCCGAGGCCCCGCGAGGGCCCCCAGAGGCCGGAAATGGCGACAAACTTCCCGTCAGGATCTTGGCACTACTCGAGGGGATCTGGAAAACGAAACGACTCAGGACGACAAGCCCGTCCCACGGGGAAGCGGCCCAGAGACCTCCAGGGCCCAGGCGTCGGGAAGATTTGGGGCGACCGGGTGTCCAGGAGAGGGGCACTTGGAGGCTTATGATGTCCCTTTCTACTTTAGCCTTGATCACCAAAAGGAATTTCGAGCACAAACATAGTACCGAAACTCGAGGGCTTTCACGTGTCGGGCCCCGGGAGGCACTCGTCCGACACTGTTTCGACACCGCTTCGACGCCTTGTCCGGGTGCTCGACACTATTTCTGGGATGCGGTCCCAGCACAAGCACGAGGGGGGGGCCACCTGAGTGGAGGCGTCCATCCCGTGGGCGCCAGGGTGTGCCACACGGCACCCTCCTCCTGTTGGTGGCCTGCGTGGTGGCCTGGGCGGGCCGTGCTGCCTCGCGTGTCGGCGCCCGCTCCCGCCCGCCTCGTCTCCGCTGTTCTCGCCTCGTGCCTCGCCGCCCGCATCCCACAGCCCCGCTTCTTGTCCCTTCCTCTGGCCTCCTCTCCCCGCCTCCTCCCCCTCTCCGCTCCCCCTCCTCTGATCTCCTCTCCTCTCCTCCCCGATCTCCACTCTGATCCCCGCTCCTCCGCTCTGGCCTCCTCTCCCCCTCCCCTCTCCACTCCTCCCCCCTGATCTCCACTCCTCTTGCCCCTCCTCTGGTCTCCTCTCCTCTCCTCTCCTCGCCTGCGGTCCACCTCTCCTCTCCCACCTCCTCTCGTCCGCGCTCCTCTGGCGCCCCCCTCCCCTTCTCTCTCCACCTGCTGTCTCCCTGCCCTGCCGCCTTTCCTCTGCTCTCGCCGCTTGGCTCTCTTCCAGGCCTCCTAGCTGGGGTCGGTATGGATTGGGTCGGGGGATCGCGCCGCATTGCCGATGCATCGGCGGTGCATCGGCAACGCGGCTCGATGCGGGGCCCAAGTTGTTCCACGCAGACGTCGCGGATGCATCGCCGACGTCGCTAGTGCATCGTCGATGCATCGGCGATGCATCGGCGATGCATCGGTGATGCGGCGAGATCCTCCGACCCCATTTACTCGGACCCCATCTAGGAGGGCCTCTATCTCCCGCAGAAACACCGGCTTGTCGATCTCAGGTGCTCATCTCGAACTATGTCAGCAGCCCCGCGAATTGCCTGACGACTGGCGACCACTATTCGGGATGCCTGGCGGCAACTCTCAATGAACTCTGGCTGCACGGGGCGGATTTCAAACTGAGGGAGTTTCTACCAACCTCACGGCATCCTGACCACGGGCGCGCGAGGAAGTGCGGCCAACACCCCCGCTTCATGCACTGTTTCCGGCAAACCTGGCGAATCTACGGAATCTGACGGAATCTGGCGCAGAATCCCAAGTTTCCGCCCTCGCTCGGGGCATCCTCGTAAAGTCGGACCCAGGTGGGGTGCCAAGAGCGGTTCCTGCACCGTATTCTCGAACACATACACTCTTCATGTGTGTATATATATATATATACACAAGACCTCCCGATCAATCGCAGAGCGACCAGCCACCGTTGAAGGAAAACACTTTGCAACACACGTTGGGGAGCCCCTTCGCATGACCCTCCTCCGCCCCCAGCTTCAATATTGAACATGTGTTCTCGGAGAGCTGGGAAGAAAACACCCGAACCCGACACCACGAACACAATACCTGCTGATTTTTAAGGCCGGGGACGTGGAGGTGGGAATTTGGCTCTGTCTGGTTCGGTCGCTCTTGCGCTCTTGTTGCATTTTGCCGTTCGATCGTAGCACGTACAGTCAATCCGCATTGCAAGGGTGAACAACAGCATTTTTCCATGGCTACCCTTGCATCCTGTCCCTTCGGCCCATCCTTGGCCGCCTTCGCTGGCCGCGCCCCGCCCGCAAGGTTTCGGCGTGGCCTTCCAATGCACGGGTTGGCCGTACGTGCAGG